CCGCCCACTTGGCGCTAGGAAAAACCACGTGGAAACCCAACTCCGAGGTCTCTGGCGACCAAGCCTCGTGCTCCACCGGGAGCAGTGTTTCCAGAACCCTTGGGCTCTGGGTCTTGCTGAGCCCGGGCCTAGCTCTCTGCGCCCCGACACTTGTTCTTTTATTCAGCCCACTGATTGTGAGCACCTCCTCAGAGCCTGGGCCTCTAGATGGGGGGAAACGTGTTTATATCTTGGGACATGGCCTTGTCACATCTGTCCTCAGGGTGCTCTTGTCCAGTTCCTCTTCTGATAGCACAGCCTCTGGTTGCAGGCCCATCACGAAAGCACTTGGTGCAGGATATTTCACCTGGGGGTTGGTACCTGGAGCACTGCCATCCCTCATGGGCAGGAGATCCTCTGCATGTATCAAACCATTTGTGTGCCAGGGGAAGTGAGATCCTAGACTGAGCTGGCACCACGCTGGACAGGTGGTGGGGCCCATTTCCCGACTCCCCAGTGCCTACTTCTATTTGCCAGAAGGCCCATGGGCTCCAGTAGCACCCCACAGGTGGGTCAACAGGGCGAGAACAGTTCTGAGGCTTGGACCCTGAGCATTCCCTGACTCCATCAGCAAGTTCCTTCACCAGCTCAAAGATCCCAGCTTAGCTGTCTGGCAGATAGAGCTGGAAGATGTAGCCTGATGTAAATTTTAGAGCTTTCAAGACTCAGGAGACAAGGAGCATTGTGAGGCCCTCACCAGACTGAAATTGCCTTTGGTTTCAGTATTTCTACCTGGAAATGAAATGGGGATGGTATAAATTGTAGGGTTTGTGAACATGCTATTTAAAATGAAATGCAAGACACCACATGCTTTAGGGCAACAGTGGTGGCCAGAGGTTGATGTGAGGTAAGGAAGACACTTGAGTAAAACTCAATTCATTGCCTCAGATGAAGGGGGCACTGACAATAGAGGTTTTAATTATAATAATCCCTTAGTTATTTTTTTTTCCATACATGGAAGTATACTTTTTCACCAGGGGGCATATTTTACCAATTTGTTGGGGTTTTTTAAAAGACATTACACCTTACATTACAAAGAAGCCACAGTTATTCTCTCTCTCACAATCTCTCTTTTTAAATACAAGTTTTTTGATTGTACAGTGGAGCTTGTTTCTATTTTTTTTTATGTCTTAGTTTTAAAAATACCGTGCAGTTCAGGTATAGGCCTCGGCAAGTATCAGTTGGTGTTTCAAGTATGGCTGTTTGATCCAATCCCACAGCCAGCCAGCCAAAAGGGAACTTCAGGGATCTAAATTTTTTCCAGTAAGTAAAGCAATTTGGGGTTGCAAAACTTGTCTTTGGATGTATACTTTCCACATCACTGGGTTAATAGTATAGAGGTTTACAAAAATATGGTGGAGTAAAGACTAGACAGAGTTAGGAACTATACATTCTCTAATTCTATCACTGACCTAGGGAATTTGGGACAAGTCACTTCCCATCTTTAGCTGTCAGTTTTCTCAACTACAATTAAAGTGCCAAACTGGGGCTCTTTCAGTTTGAGAATCAGTTTCTGACTTTAAGGGGCATTGTGAAGCCTTCACCAGACTCTGAAATCTTCCCTGGCCTCAGTTTTTTCACTTATGAAATGGGGATGTTATAAATTGTGGGATTGTAGGGATTGTGAATATACCCTGTAAAATGAAGCACAAGACACATGCTTTAGGGCAGCAGTGGTAGGAAACTACTACTCTGGTTTCCTCTGTAGTGGCCATACCCCCAACATACCATTTCATTCCCATGGCAACGGCTTTGTATGGGTTCCACTTGCCTCTAATTCTTTTGTAGCACTGCAAGTAGGAGGTTTCAGGGCTCTGTTGAGAGGGCTGTCTGCTGGCTAGATTCTTTCCTTCTCTTACAGAGTCTGAGTTTATTTTTGAAGTTCTCTCTACCTCAGTAAGTAGTAAATGTTGGTAGAGTGTATAAGTCAGCATGAAGAGATATAACAGCTTTTGTTTATACTAAAAAAATAGTACTATGTAAATTAGATTAGATAAGCAGTTTGTCTCACAGCTAATCTCATTTATGAATGGTTTTTGTTTGAGTTGCCACACAAGTGCAACTTAGGCTGCTAATGTGAGAGTGTAGAAGTGCCAGCCTGGGAGTCAGGAGTCAAGCTACGTCCCACTAGATAAATGTATGACTTCCTGTGAGGCCCTTCCCCTCTCTGAGCCATGGTTTTCTCATTTGTACAGGGAAGAGTTTAGACTACTGTTATAGTCTGAATTGTCGGCCCTGCCACCCACCTCATCCCCAAATTCATATGCTGAAATCCTAGCCCCCAGTACCTCGGAGTATGATTTCATTTGGAAACAGCACCACTGCAGATGTAAACAGTTAAGTTCATACATGTGTAGGACGGGCCTCTAATGCATTATGGCTGGTGTCCTTATAAAAAGGGAAAATTTGAACAGAGACATAGATGCAGGGAGAAGGCTGTTTGAAGAAAAATGCAGAGATCAGGGTGATGCTTCTACAAGCCAAGAAATGTCAAAGATTGTCAGCAAACCACCAGAAAATAGAGGAGAGGCCTGGAACAGTCCTTCCTTCACAGCCTTCAGAAGGAACTAGCCTTGCCAACATCCCCATCTCAGACTTCTAACCTCTTGAACTGGGAGATGATTAACTTCTGTTGTTGAAGCCACTTAGTTTGTAGCATTTGTTATGGCAGCCCCACAAACTACAACAACAGTGGTTCCCATTTTTTTTTGGTGGGGGAACAGGGTCTTCCTCTGTTACCCAGACTGGAATGCAGTGCAGTGGCACGATCTTGGCTCACTGCAACCTCTGCCTCCTGGGTTCAAGTGATTTTCTGCCTCAGCCTCCTGAGAAGCTGGGATTACAGGCATGTGCCGCCACACCAAGCTGGTTCCCAATCTTTTCATAATCAAGAACTATTTTGCTGTTTTTCCTTTTGTGGACCTTTTCCTTTTGTGCTGTTCTGGAACTCCTGGCCCCATGTAATCCTCTTGCCTCAGCTTCCCAAAGTGTCACGATTACAGAAGTGAGCCAGCACACTCAGCCCTAGAGGGGGATTATTCCTTTGTTATTTATTTAACAAATATTTATTAGTTCCTACTATATACCAGGTCCTACTCGAGGCATTGGGGAATAATAAGTCACAATTCTGTTTCCCCACTTGTGTTCATTCTATGTTTTAAAATATTTACTCTACTAAGTATACTAAGGCTTATTTTCATAATAATTTGTGAACAGTCTTTTCTTGTGTGATAACCAGGATAACCCCATCATGATATACAGTAAGTGCCAAAAATCAAAGAAAGGTGATGGTTTAAGTAGCTGTGGATGCCTTATAGAAAGCAAATAGATTCATTAGGTTTTAAAAAATACTAAAAATTGCTTAAGAACCACAATTACTATATTTATGGGTCCCTAGGGGTTCAAGGACCTCATTGCAGGCTGATATGTAGAGCAGGGATCAGCAAACTCTTCCTGTAAAAGGGTCAGATGGTAAAAATTTTGGGCGTTGTAGATCATTTTGGGCATTGCAGATCATACCATCTCTGTCACAACTACTCAACATTGCTATTGTAGACAATACAAACAAATGAGAATGGCTGAGCTCCAATAAAATTTTATCTATAGACACTGAAATTTCAATTTCTTATAAATTTTCCGCATCATGTTATTCTTTTGACTTTTTCAACAATTTAAAAATGGAAAAGTCATTCTTAGCTCAGAGCTGTAGAAAAACAGGTGGTAGGCTCTAAGTATTGGTTGGCTGGCTCAGTTTGTCTACCCCAGAGCTAGATTCTATTTGTACCCCAAGTTCTTACATTAGGTGGTTCTTACTCACCTAAGGGTCTAGATGAGGCCCAGAGAGATATTGCTATTATTTTTTATTAAATTTTTTACAGTCTTTTTGGGGGTGGGGACAGAGTCTTGCTATACTGCCCAAGCTGTTCTGGAACTCCTGGCCCCATGTAATCCTCTTGCCTCAGCTTCCCAAAGTGTCACGATTACAGACGTGAGCCAGCACACTCAGCCCTAGAGGGGGATTATTCAGTTTGAATGAAAACCCAGACTTCCTGCTGCCCAGTCCATTGCCCTTTCCATCACTCTAAGCTGCTGGTTTAGTCATGATTTCAGACGTGGTCTTTGTATCCATGTGGTGAAGAAAATAGCCCTGTGGTCAGTGGCCCTTTCCAGGCGCTGACCATGTAAGGGTTGTCCTCTCATTAGCAGCCAATGGCAACCTAATTTTGTCAAGCCTGACTTCAGGCTTACCCACCCTTTCATTTTTACCTCTCTCGGTTGCGCAGGCCCGGGAAGCCCATCTGTTCTTACTATTTAAGTCCCTGTTGTCTCATTGGTGGCTTTCTGAGCAGCTGCAAAATATGTTTTTAACTTTTAGGTGAAAGTTGGGGTCACTGGCATCGAGTCTGGAACAGTCACTCTCAGCAAGAGCTCTTTGATCTCTGACATTCTCTAGTTTTACGGACTCGGGTGAGTGTTAAACTCCTCCCAGCTGCCAAGGGCTGGACTTCCTTCCACTGTGGGCAGTAATTAATGAGGCATTTATTTGCTCAAGTAGTGGTGGACTAATGTACATTGCTTTTTTGTGTTGCTGTCGTCGGAATATGCTTAGTTGCCTAGCACCACAGCCCTCTGGCTGGTAGTCCCTCCTCGCAGCTCATCTGCTCCGGTCTCCTTGCGGTCCCCAGCTCGGCGACCGGGACGCAGACAAGGACAACAGGTGTTCACGCGAGCTCAGGGGGCGGCATAGCTGCTGCTCACCCCGGACGACCATGTTGCGCGGCAAGTCCCGGCTCAACGTGGAGTGGCTGGGCTACTCGCCTGGACTGCTCCTCGAACACAGGCCCCTCCTGGCAGGGCGCACGCCGCCGAGCCACCGCCGGTAAGTCACGTGAGTGCCCGTGCCCGCGCCCGCGCCCGCGGCCGCCGCAGCTCTGCGCCGCGGCACGCCGCGCCTGCGTACTGCGGCCCGCCGGCCAGCGCGAACGGGCACTTCCGGCGCGAACCGGCATTTCCGGTGCGAACAGCCTCATCCACTCTCTCCCGCGGAACCTACTGAGCGCGGCTGGTGACCCAAGCCCTGCCGCCGAGCGACTGCGGCCGGCACGGCGACACCATGGAGCGCCCGGATAAAGCGGCGCTGAACGCACTGCAACCTCCTGAGTTCAGGTAGCCCTGAGCGGGGCCCGGACCTCAAGGCGGACCGGCCCAGCCAGGAGCAGGACTCGAGGAAAGATCCTAGCTGAATGGGTTGGGAGTGAGGTCTGGACCCCGGGGACCTGGCCGCAGGGAGGGAGGCGGGGAAAGCAGGTTGGGGCCTGAGACTTATGCACCAGCAGTGCCGACCTTTCGCATGGGAATAAGGGACCCGGGGTCATGGGGAATAGATCAGTGAGCCTTCAGCTCGTGCTCCTATCCTAGCACTTCCTCTCGCTATCGTCTATATTGCAGTCTCTTTCATTACCTAAGGGTGAGCTTTCTGAAGATAGGAACGCGGTCTCCTTCATCTCCGTGTTCCCTAGGGATCCTGCATTGTCGGGGCTTAATAAATGTTTGCTGTATGAATTAACGAATAGAAAGGAATAGTTCTCTGGAGTGGGACTGCTTCACTTGGAGAATCAGTAAGCTGGAGGCTGGTGGCTGAGTGTAAGGAATGTTTGAGAGAGCAAGTGGTTCTGGCCCACCTGAAGTCGGTAAGGGAGTGATAAGGGAGTTAGCTATCATTCATTAAGATCTACTGTATATTCCCTTATCTACTGTATGTTCCCATTTATGAGAACATGCGGCATTTTGTTTTCTTTTCCTGTCTTAGTTTGCTTAGGATAATTGCCTCCAGCTCCAAACATGTTGTTGCAGAGGACATGATCTCATTCTTTGTTATGGCTGCATAGTGCTCCATGGTGTGTATGTACCACACTTTCTTTATCCAGCCTCAATGTGGGATTTTAAAAAATTACTATTCATTTATGAGAATACCAACAGATATTTTTATTAGGTACACTTAAATAGAGCATAATTCTTCTTGACTGATTCTGGTTTCCTAATGGAATTTGCAGTGAAATCTGGCAGTGGAGAGAAAGAATTTTGTTGTCTTACTTGCCACAAAAGGGAATGTGGTAGGCTCTGTCTGTTCAATGTTGGCTGCAGAAGTTCGTATGAAGTGGGAAAACTAGGTGGTGTTATGAATGGAGGCACAGTGAGGTTTATCCTGAACTTTTTCCTTTGCGTGATGACAACTTTAATTCCAGCCTTTCTCATTCCTCATTTCTAACAAGTCTCCACTCAGTAGCACCCAAAGATACATAGTTGAATAGTATCAATTGCTTTGTCTTGGACTAAGCCACTGATTTTACCCAAGGTGGCTTGTGCCAGCAAAACCAACAGCTCTTGTGGCTGGAAGCCAGGGAGAAAATGTCCTATCAATAGTAGAGGAAGTTTGCTAGTTTTCAAAAGTTTGTATATACACTTTGACTTAATGCTTAGTCCCATATTAGTGAGTTCACAATCCAGAAAAGTCATATTTTTGAAGTTTAAGGTAAAAAGAGAAGTGAGAAGGAATTAGCTATAAATTATTAAGGTATGCTTTGTAAAGATTGTGTGAGGGCTAGAAATTAACATGTAGAAAAGTTATATTTGGGTGGTGAGATTATAAGTGATTTTGTTTACTTTAAAACATTTGTATGGTGTTACATTGTCTTTTCAAAAGTAAACTTTTTAAAAGCCAGACCAGATAATAGATACTCAAGAGAGGTCATGTAAAGAACACAACAATCAGTTAACACTTCCTTTCTGTTCCTTTATCAAGTTAGATAATCTGCAATTTGCATTCCTAAAACATAGTTTTTTATTCACCATAGAAATACCAGTCAAGTGCTTTTTTTAGGGTCCACAAAAGAATTGGCCAAGTAGTGACTTTTTGTATTTTTTGTAGATTCTCTACTGCCACACACTCATATTCTTCATGAGGATTGCACAATAAATTCCTCTAAAAATGTACCAGTAGGAAACAGTTTAAGGGAGCTTATGTATATTAAATGAGAGTTGAGTAGCTGAGTAATAACCAAAATGAGGCATGTTAAAAGATGATCTATTTAAGTACCAAAAGAAAATACTAGAACTTTTTTTACAGCAATAATTATTTAATTTCTCACACATGTGCAGAGCATATGATCAAGAAATAGGCATGAGGTTAGTTATAGTTAATATATGTTCTGCCCAATGTTTTTGTGGGTTTTTGTTCAGGTTGTTTTTCAAAAATCAATTTCATTGTGTATATTTGAGGTTCACAACATGATGTTATGGCATACAGACAGTAAAGTGATTGCTGTAGTCAAGCAGATTCACGTTATCTGTCACCTCACATACTTTTGTGTGTGTGTGACCAGAGCAGCTAAAGTCTCCTTATTTACAAAAGTCCCTAACAGCATGCAGCTTTATTGCCTATAGTCCTCTTGTACAATAGGCATCTAGACTTGTTCATCCATATGTCCACTGCTTTGTGTCCTTTGATGTACATCTCCCTATTTCCTTCCCTCCAGCCTCCCACTCTCACCCCTACCCCGGTGGTAAATACTGTTTTATTCTCTATCCTTGTGTAGTTGACTTTTTTTTTTTTAAGATTCCACACATAACTGAGATCATGTAGTATTTGTCTTTCTGTGTCTGGCTTATTTTGCTTAACATAATGTCTTCCAGGTCCATCCATGTTGTGACAAATGGCAGATGTCCTTTTTTAAGGCTGTTAAAAATATTCCCTCAAGCCTGTAATCCCAGCACTTTGGGAGGCTGAGGCGGATGAATCACGAGGTCAAGAGATCGAGACCATCCTGGTCAACACTGTGAAACCCCGTCTCTACTAAAAATACAAAAAATTAGCTGGGCAAGGTGGTGCGTACCTGTAATCCCAGCTACTCGGGAGGCTGAGGCAGGAGAATTGCCTGATCCCAGGAGGTGGAGGTTGCGGTGAGCCGAGATCGTGCCATTGCACTCCAGCCTGGGTAACAAGAGCAAAACTCCGTCTTAAAAAAAAAAACAAAACTTCAGTGAATATGGAAGTGCAGATATTTTTATGAGGTAGTGATTTCATCTTGTTTGGTTATATACCAGAAGAGACGTTGCTGGGTTGTGTGGTAGTTCTATTTTTAATTTCTTTAGGAACTGTTTTCCATAATGGCTGTACCAATGTACATTTCTAGTCACAAAGTACTAGGGTTTTTTTCCTCCACACTTCTACCAACATTTGTTTTCACTGGCGTTTTAATAAAAGCTGTCCTAACAAGTGTGAGGTTTTATCTCGTAGTGGTTTTGATTTGGATTTCCCTGATGATTTAGTGATGTCGAGCACCTTTTCATTTATCTCATGGCCATTTTTATGTCTTTGAGGCAATGCCTGTCCAGGCGTTGTTCATATTTTAATCAGGTGGGTTTTTTTTGCTGAGTTGTAAGAGTTCTTTATAAATGTTGGAATATTAACCCTTATCAGATAGGTAGTTGGCAAATGTGTTTTTCCAGTCTGTAGGCTGCCTTTTCATTTTGTTGATTGTTTCTTTTGCTGTACAGAAGCTTTTTGTTTGATGCAAGCCTCTTTATTTTTCCTTTTGTAGCCTAAGCTTTTGGTGTGATATCCAAAAAATCATTACAAGGCCAGTGTTAAGGACCTTTCCCCCATGTACTTTTATGTCTAGTTTTATGTCATAAAACTTTATATCTTTATGTTTTATTTTATCCATTTTGGGTTGATTTTTGTATATGTTGTAAGAGTCTGGTTTTGTTCTTTGGATGTAGAAATCCAGTTTTCCCAGTACCATTTATTGAAGAGACTATTCTTTCCCCGTTGTGTTCCTCTTGACACCCTTGTGTCTGTTTCATTGTTACATGTTTCAGTTTTTATGCCAATGCCATACCATTTTGATTAGTATACCTAATATTTTAAATCAGGAAGTGTGATGCTTACAAATTCTTTTTCAGTGTTGCTTTGGCTATTTGGAGCTTTTTGTGGTTTTGTATGAATTTTAGGATTGTTTTCCTATTTCTATGAAGAATGCTACTAAAATTTTGATAGAGATTATGTCATATCTGTATATTGCTTTGGGTACTATGGACATTTCAACAGTATTCTTCTGGTCCATGAACACAGGATATCTTTACATTTAGTTGTGTCATCTTCAATTTCTTTCATCAGTGTTTTATATGTTTCAGTGTATGAGTCATTATATCCTTAGATGAGTTAAATTTATTCCTAAGTTTCTCTTTGTTTTTAAAATAGATTATTGCTCTGTCACCTAGGCCTGAGTACAGTGCCCCAATCACTGGTCACTGCAGCCTTGAACTCTGGGGCTCAATCCTCCCACTTCGGCCTCTTAAGTAGCTGAGATTACAGGCATTTGCCACCACCCCCAGCAAATTTTCACGAATTTTTTTTGTAGAGGTGAGGTTTTGATATGTTACTTAGGCTGGTGTCAGACTCCTGGCCTCAAGCCTCAGCCTTCCCAAAGTAGTGGGATTACAGGCATGAGCCACTGAGCCTGGCCTCTAAGTATTTTTTTAATACTATTATAAATAGGATTGTTTACTTGATTTTTCTTTCAGCTGAGTAAAGGATGCGGAAGTTTGTCAAATGCTTTTTCTGCATCATCTGAGATGATCCTACTTGGTCATAATAATGTATAATCTTTTTGATGTATTTTTGTTTGTTTGAGATGGTCTTGCTCTGTTGCCCAGGCTAGAGTGCAGTGGTGTGATCTAAGCTCACTGCAGCCTCTGCTTCCCAGGTTCAAGTGATTCTCGTGCCTTGGCCTCCTGAATAGCTGGGACTATCGGCAGGCGCTACCACACCCAGCTAATTTTTGTATTTTTAGTAGAGATGGAGTTTTGGTATGTTGGCCAGGCTGATCTTGAACTCCTGGCCTCAACTGATCAACCTGCCTTGGCCTACCAAAGTGCTGGGATTACTGGTGTGAGCCACCACACCTGGCCTGATTATTGTTGAATATGCTTTGAAAATATGTTACTGAGGAATTTTGCACCAATGTTCATCAATGAGGTTGTCGTGTAGTTTTCTTGCTGTGTCTGTCTGGCTTAGGTATAAAGGTGATGTGAGCCTCTTAAAATGTGTCTGGAAGTATTCCCTCTAGCTCTATTTTTCACCCATAACAGAAGTTCCTCTTCCAGTTGGGGAGGGCACGCTGGTCCTTCTGCTCTGCCTACCTCCTTCCATGGTCTGGTGTCTGGTGCCTTGTGCCTGTCTGTGGTCAGGATTGCCGCATGTGTTCAGGGACTGGTGTGGCAGTGGCTTCCCGGGGCCGAAGCTCCGATTCCAGTGGAGGAGGGCGTGCTGGTGTGTTGGCTCCATTTGGTTAGTTTGCTGGTCCACTGTCTGGTGCTAGAGGACAGGAAGCTGGTGACTTCCTCAGATACAAGCTCCGATTCAAGCAGGAGAGGGCATGTTGATCCATCCACTTGCGGTACCTGCCTAGTTCCCTGGTCTGGTGTCTGCTGTTCGTGGTCAGGGTTGCTGCTTGGGCTCAGGAACTGGTGTGGCAGTGGTTTTATTGGGCAAAAGCTCTAATTCTAGTGGGAGAGGGTGCACAGGTGTGTTCGCCTCATTAGTTTGCTGGTCCACTGTTTTATGCTGGAGGACAGCAAGCTGGTGGCTTCCCCTGACGTAAGCTCCGATTCTAGCGGGAGAGGGTGCACTGATCCAACCGTGGTACCTGTTGCATTCCCAGGTCTGGTGTCTGCTGCTGGCAGACATGGTTGCTGCACGGATCTGGCAGTGGGGCCACTGTTCACTGTGGCTTCCCTGGGTAGAAGCTGCAGTTCCAGAGGCAGGGGCACCGAGTTTCTTCATTAGTTTGTTCCCTCAGCTTGTTGACAGTTGATCTGAGGCACCCTGATATGTCTGTCCTCTCACACTGGATGTGAATGATAGTCCCTGGTGTATTAATCTTCATGTTCCAGCAGAAGAAATTCCTACTACCCACAGCTGGTTCTCTAGGATCTTCGGATTATGAGCCCCTGCCTGTGATCTTCTTCCTACATAGCATCTCGTTGTGGATATTTATAGCTTTAGGGACATAAGAGCGTTTGGATATGGCTGTGCAGGTTCTGATTTTCTCTTTGTTTACTTTATTCCAGAAATGAAAGTTCATTAGCATCTACGCTGAAGACGCTCCTGTTCTTCACAGCTTTAATGATCACTGTTCCTATTGGGTTATATTTCACAACTAAATCTTATATATTTGAAGGTAATCTTAGACCCATTAAAACAGATATTTACCCTGATTTAAGATTCTGTGCTTTTATGACCTCTTTATATTTGTAAACTGGGTATTCTTATTTTTTTCTTGTTTTGCTTTTCAAAAAATCATATTACTCATAATGGGTCTTTATGAAATAACTTGTTATTTCAGCTTGACATTTTACTCGTATATGGTTTTCTGTGAAATAGTGTGCAAATCCTTTCTCTTAGTACCCTTTTAAGAGTAGGAGTTGGCTGATGTGGGAGGAGGAATTTGGGGGAATGGACTTCTAGTGTCGGATAATGGAAGGAAGAAAAAATGAAAACGAAGTCCCCTTTTTGATGTCAAAGGCTTTTTTTAAAAAAATGAGATGGAGTTTCACTCTTGTTGCCCAGGCTGGAGTGCAATGGTGGGATCTCCGGCCCATTGCAGCCTCCACCTCCTGGGTTCAAGTGATTGTTCTGTCTTAGCCTCCTGAATAGCTGGGATTATAGGCACCTGCCACTACACCTGGCTAATTTTTGGTATTTTTAGTAGAGGTGGGGGTTCACCATGTTGGCAAGGCTGGTCTTGAATTCCTGACCTCAGGTGATCCACCCACCTTGGCTTCCCAAAGTGTTGGGATTACAGGCATGAGCCACCTCGCCTGGCCTAAAGTCTTTAGACTAAGTTATAATTATGGTTTTGTTTAAAATAATGTTCTTAGTATATAGAAGGTACTCATATCTTTTAGTGAATACCTGATTGATTACCACCCATAGTATTACTTTTTAATTGCCTGACTAGTTAAATAAATAATGTCATTAAATATTAGAATGCTTTGTGTTTTTGTACTTTGGTAAATTTTGGAATAAAATGGAAACTTTTTTTTCTCTTGATAGGCGCCCTTGGGATGTCCAACAGGGACAGCTATTTTTATGCTGCTATTGTTGCAGTAGTTGCCGTCCATGTGGTGCTGGCCCTCTTTGTGTATGTGGCCTGGAATGAAGGCTCACGACAGTGGCGTGAAGGCAAACAGGATTAAAGTGAATGTCACCTTTTGATAGCATTACACTGATTTTTTAAAATGGTAAATGCTGGAATGGGGGACATCTGATTTGAATAAAGTTAAAAGAACATGTTAAAGTCAGTCTTAAGGAGTCATGTTTGAGTGGTGTAAATTTTGATCCTTCTAATATGTTGGTTTGTATATTCAGTTTTCACTGTATGAATTTCATTTGCAAATGAGAATTTGGAAAAGTTAAATTAGTTACAAATGTTAATTTAGTTACACATTATTCTTGAAAGAATTTTATCTTCTTTCAACAAAACATGTTTTATAGTATTCTGACTTATGGTTGCCTTTGAGTTTAACTCCGTTGGATATATTAAGATGCACACAGTGAAGCAAATTAAACTCCGCTTTATGCTGGAATGCTTTCCTTAGCATGAAAATACCAAGTCCTTGGATTTGGAATTTTAATTTCCTATGGAAAGTTGCTTAAATTGTGGACACTGGAATTTGAATGTCACTAAGGAATTTCACATAAAGTGTAATCTCTAGTCAGTAGGAATTTTCCATTACATGATTTTATGGGAAAACTAGGCTAAATCACATCCATTGAGGTAAAAGGACTTTAGCTTACTGAAAGATCTAGAGAGCAAAACAAAGATCCTACCACTCAAACACTCGGCCTGCTTCCTTCAGGTCCCCTTGCAGGACAGCTTTGTGCTTTGCAAACCAACTTTAATGAGATACTTTGCTTCCTCATTCAACATTGAAGCTAGGCTTCAATTAAAAGGTTTGAGGATGCTCCATTTAAAATTGTTTTTCCTACTGTTTTTTAAAATTGTAGTGTATATGATAGGAATTTGCATTTAAATATGTTCATTTTTGCATATGTTAAGAATGGAAAAAATCTTGAAAACTTTTTTTTTTTACCCAAAAAATGTTCTCCTTGGGGTTATCTGATGGAAAAAATCCTTGAATTTATTTTTGTATCTTTAGTCTGTGTACTTTCTAGTTATTTGGTACTAATTGTGTGCAATCAAAAAACACTCCCCAAAGTATTTGTTTTTTTAATTATAAAACATAATACATGTCCTTTATAGAAAGCAGGAAAAATACATATTCACACAGGAAAAAATAATCAAAATTTCCCATAATGTTGCCATCTAAAAATAACCTCTATTTTAGTTTATATTCTGTATGCATTTTTGAAAGCCATTTCTTAATGCTAGTTTGATGCACACTGAAAGTTTAGTTTACAAGTTCAAATTTTGCCAGCTTTTCCTGACAGCTATTTGCACTTTTTCAGATGAGTGATTATTGGCCATTTTCTTTTTTTTTTTTTGAGACAGAGTCTCACTCTCTTGCCCAGGCTGGAGTGCAGTGGCATGATCTCTGCTCACTGCAACCTCCACCTCTGCCTCCTGGTTTCAAGCAGTTCTCCACATCAGCCTCCTGAGTAGCTGGGACTACAGGTGACTGCCACCACACCCAGCTAATATTTTTTTGTATTTTTTAGTAGAGACGGTTTCCCCATGTTGGCTAGGATGGTCTTGAACTCCTGACCTCAGGTGATCTGCCCACCTCAGCCTCCCCAAGTGCTGTAATTACAGGTATGAGCCACCTTGCCGGGCCTTGTTAGCCATTTTCTAAATGAGCACATTCTGTCTTTCTTCTCTTAAAATTCAAATTTTCTGTTACTGATAATCCTAATACTTAGGATTCTTGCTTAAGCATTTGAAACGATTACCGATTTGTTGTTCACATTATGTTTTATGTTGTGAAATTGGACTAAAGGAATAGATGAATGATTAGTCATAAAAGTTAAATAGGCATTTGTGTTTAACTGTTGAGAAAAGTGAAAGATCGGTATGATTATTATGGAACTTTTTTTAATTCTTGCTTAAAGACTACAATTTTAGTATAATGACATTTGAGTCTAGAGTATTGTGTGGCAGATTTCTAGATGGTCCCTACTTAAGATGTATTGTTGTATTTAGAATTGTCCACCTGATTTCTTTTTATATAATGCCAGGTTTTTCTCGTGCTTTTGGGATCTTATGCTGTTGTAAAATATTACTGTCCAATGTCAGATTATTTTGTTTGGTTTCAGGCATTTGCTGAATAGGTAATGATATATGGTATTTTTCTGCAAGTATTTAAACCAGGGACACATGCAAAGACAGTTGTAATTCCCTCTTCGAAAAAGCCCAAGTGTTTGAAGGTTAAAATCGAATATTTAGGATCATTACAAAATAGGCTTGTTTTCATAGCAGTTAGTTTGTTCCTAGAGTTTTAACTGTTAACTCACTAGTTTGCTGCTGTTTTTAACTAAGTCAAATAACATAAGGTATTTGACAAATAGATTTATTTTTCAAGATGTCTCACTAGTTTCCTTTTACATAATGTATATACTTCAAGATGTATAGAAAGGAAAGCTACAGTTGAGCCCTTACACATGTTTTAAGGTTGGAATATATTCCCTATTGTTTGAAAACCAATTGTAAGAATAACCTCAATTGGGAGGTATAACTTGAAACTACTGATTTCACCCCATTTACGGTACCACATTACCTTCCTCACGTGTTTTGCCCCCGAGAATGTAGTCCTTTTTCTCAGTTGTGTTGAAAAATGAAAAGTCTGCTGTAGAGTGCATCTGATGTTATTAGCTGTTCAAATGGATACCATTGTACATATAACGGTAGAATTAGGTTTTGGGTTGTTAGTGAAAAGAAATTTAAGCTTGCCGTTATAAAAAACTATGTTTCAGCCAGGCGTAGTGGCTCACGCCTGTAATCCCAGCACTTTGGGAGTCCGAGGTGGGCAGATCACCTGAGTTGAAGACCAGCCTGACCAACATGGAGAAACCCTGTTGCTACTAAAAATACAAAGTTAGCTGGGCATGGTGGCACATGCCTGTAATCCCAGCTACTCAGGAGGTGGAGGCAGGAGAATCGCTTGAACCCAGGAGGCAGAGGTTGTGGTGAGCCAAGATTGCACCATTGCACTCCAGCCTGGGTGACAAGAGTGAAACTGTGTCTCAAAAATGAAAACAAAAAAAACTGTTTTATGGAAATTCTAACAGAAATATATATATATATATATATATATATTTTTTTTTTGAGACAGAGTTTTGCTCTTCTTGCCCAGGCTGGAGTGCAGGGGTGTGATCTCAGCTCACTGCAACCTCCATCTCCCAGGTTCAAACAATTCTGCTGCCTCAGCCTCCCGAGTAGCTGGGATGACAGGCACATGCAACCACGCCTGACTAATTTTTAGTAGAGATGGGGTTTCGCCATGTTAGCCAGGTCGGTCTCAAACTCCTGACCTCAGGTGATCCACCCCCCTCTGTCTCCCAAAGTGTTGGGATTACTGGCGTGAGCCACCGTGCCCAGCCTAATAATTAGAACATTTTTATCATGAAAATCTCATCAGCTTTGCCAAAAGAAACAACTGATTGACTTGTTTGGCGTTTGTTTTCCATTTTCAAGTGAGTTTTATATATACAGTTAGAATACCCAAGGAGACCAGTAAAATCAGTTAAACAAGTAGGGTGTATCCAAAGAAAGATGAAACCAGAAAGTACATAAAAAGGATTTAAATCCCATTTTAAATGGACCTAGTATGTATTTCTTACATCTAGACAAGCTCATTTTTATTGTTTAATTTATGCCCAAGTGAAGTTATAAACTTATGGTTCAATTTTGACATGGAATTTGTCGCTTGTCTGAGGTCAGTGGTAGGTTTCTCTGCTCTCAAGCACTCTGTCACCCACCAGATTAGTACAACTATTAATTGAGACTCTACTCCTATGTTTAAGATAATTTTTACAAGAGCTGGCTGAAGCAGCACGTTAGTAACCTGACAAGATTTCTTTTTCCCTTTTCAGGGGAAAGAGTCACCTTGAAAATTAATTGTTTTCAGGGACTTTGGGAATCTAATGATAAATATTACACATAATCTATGAATAGCTTAATCCTGTATATTTTCATTAAGATAGGAATTCCTTGACATCACTCCTGGCCACACTTTCCTTGCCTGTGTTGTTGTATGTGTATTTGAAAGTAACATCTGCATTCCTTTGAAGATGTTCTATGGGTCATATTTGTCGGTTAAACAGAGTAGTCTTCCTTTTCCATGTTCAGTGTAGTCTCACTGAACAGTAATAATAGCAATAGCTAACAGCATCTGCACAGCACCTTACAGTTTGCAAAGAATGTTCACACATTCTCTTTGAGTTTTGCATAGTGAACCTGTTACAAGATGTCTCTTGACGTCGATGCTAAAAGTGTTAGAATCTTTAAATCACTAGAGTCCTTGAATATGCTGTAGTATTTAATAGTGCCCTGACTAGGGGAAGGATTTAGATGTGCTATATTTCAAGCCGTGTATAATGATCAGAATGGGGGGCTTGAGTTCTTTAGCTACTTGAATCAGATTTACTTTTGTAAGTGATGCTTTTTTAACTGTTATCTGGATGGATTTTGTATTCACTATATTGTAGCCTATAATTTGTATAAATTTACCATCTGTTGTCATTAAAAAACTATCTGTAATGCTACTTCGATGTGTCCTGATTCAATTAATGTTTTATTAACCGCTCTGTTTTTAAAAATTTGTCTGCTTCTCATTCTATAACATGTGGAGTACGTACAGAGCTCACTTTAAAAAATTTGTTTGTTTTCCTCTCTGTACTATGTAGATTATATAGAATGCCATGAAGAGTAAGTTGTTATGCAGTAAATGTAAACCAGAAATGCTCAAACTGATTGGGAGTGTGGGGAGGGGTACTGAAATGTAAAGGACTGGTTATACTTTATGTGGGGTGGGCTTCAAATGCCCCTAAAGGAGAGTTGAGAAATACTGCTAATTAATTAAACGTGGGGATAGATAATTCTTGACAACGTCCACATACCTCCCCCTCATGACTAATGTCCTGTGTCCTCTATCCTCTAATCACCTGTTGATTGCACTCCAGCTCCTTCCTGTGCTTCTGAGGACTCCAGCTAATTCTTATTAATAAATACTAATGTTATCCCCTTCGCAAACACATTTGAAACATCTTAGTATTGAAAAATTTTATAGGTTATGAGATGTTCAGGGAACTCAGGAAACAGGTAATGGCATTGCAGAAACCACAGGACAGTGGCTCTCAAAGTTGACTAGAATCACCTTGTAGGATTCATTAAAAACAACTGATGGCCTAAACCTAACTCAGACCTTCTGAATCGGAGTCTCTGGGGGTGGAGTGGGGATGCTAGAAAGCTCTTTGGGGCTAGGCACAGTGGCTCACGCCTATAATCCCAGTGCTTTGGGAGGCTGAGGCGGGCGGATCACGAGGTCAAGAGATTGAGACCAGCCTGGCCAACATGGTGAAACCCCATCTCTACTAAAAATACAAAAATTAGCTGGGCATGGTTGTGCACGCCTGTAGTCCCAGCTACTCAGGAGGCTGAGGCAGGAGAATCACTTGAACCTGGGAGGTGGAGGTTATGGTGAGTTGAGATCGCACCACTGCACTCCAGCACGGTGACAGAGCAAGACTCTGTCAAAAAAAAAAAAGCTCTATGGAACAGGCATCAGGCAGTGATCATCATGTAGCTGGATTGAGAACTGCTGGAGATTTAGAATTGTGCCTCCGTGTATGTTTTTAATGCTGGGCTTGAAGATGTTTGTATAAAGCCTGAAATAAGCACACACGTTGTTAGACAAAGGTAGAATGTTGAATAACGCTATATTGAAACTACAATTTAAAATCCTTTACTGGATTCCTGACAATCCATATTGACTGCTCCAGTGCTAATGCATTACGCTGAATGAAAAGTTTAATACAGGGAACAGCGAACTTAAGAAACAACTGAAGTGTGCATGGGTAGACATGGCCACTGCTGTGCCTGTGATGCCTTTTCTTATTTGGAATCCTCACTGCTGTGGACTTTGGACCAGATAAGGAAAACCAATAGTATGTAAATCGGAGGTTTCAAAATCGGAGAAGTAATGGAGAAAAGCAGAAATGGTTTCTAGGCATATTAATTGTCTGGCTCCCGTGCCCCCCTTACCTTTCACTGCTTATACATGTCTGCACTTGCTTTCACATATGCCCTGCTCATTTGCCCATTAAAGATGCATTGAGGTTAGCCCTTTTAGTAATACAGGATGAAGGTGGAGAACATTCCAAAAGAGGATTCAGCAGCCTTGAGGGAAGGGACACTACAAATGGCACACCCTGCATCTCTGCGCATCTCACCACCTTCAATGCTCCCACCTGGGGCCAGCCCAGCTTTTACTCTTCGCCTGGAGCCTCACATTGGTTTCTGCTGCCCTTCTTGCTCCTGTGGTCACTTGCCACGAAGCAACTAGAAGGTTCATTTAAAGATATTAGATCAGGCATATTATGCCTCTGCTCAAAATCCTCCCAATAGCTCCCCATCTCACTCAGGAAGATCCAGACTCCCCTAGTGGCCTGCAAGCCAGGCCACTTCCCTTCATTTCATTCCCACCCCACTTGCTCACCATTTGCCAGCCTCCTGGATTTCTTGATGTTCCCCGAACCTCCCATACTTGGTCCCATTAACTGTTCCCTCTGCCTGGTACCCTCTCCCCCAGATCTTCTCACAGCTGGCACTTCCTCACCCTTCAGGTCTCAATGCTCATGCCACCTCAGAGAGCCCTTCCCTGACAATCTAAAGCAGTAAGTCCCTCATTGCTATCACAACACTGAATACTGGATGAAATTATCTTATTAGTCACCTCCTTCCACTAAAATGTAAGTGCAGGAGGGTAGGCAGTTTGTCTTACTCACCACTGAATCCCTAGGATCTCAGAGTTGCATGAGAGTTTGGCAAGCCCCTAGTAAGTGGGAAGATACCAACACAGGTCCCCTGTGCCAAATTGTCAGCTCTGCCTCAGGAAGAAGACCAAAGTGGTTGGAGGGGCATCAAATTTTTTTCCTGCCATCTGTATCTGTAGTTCTGTGTTCCCAGGACTCTGTACTTTGCTCTAAAGCCCTAAAACATACCCCTTGCTTTCTCAACCACCCCCAATCCCATCCTTCGCCACCACATCTGTTGTTTTTTGCACACAAGCAAAACAGCAGGGAAGCTAGATGTGCTCTTCATGGATGTGGGGCTGGGGTTTTGTCATTTAGCATGGTTTCGTAGAATGCTCTTGATGTGTCTTGCAGACACAGTCTGGGAACACCCACCAGTTCTCATTTTCTCTTTTGCTCTGCTGCTGCGATTCTGCAATTATCAACAATGTGACCATGTTTAGCTCTGGCCTGTGAACATGCACATAAACAGAGCGGATTAGAGTAGAAACAGAATCTGATTTTCTCAGCTATGTGTAAATTACAGAAATACACATTTTAAAGAAAAATGTATGTTGGATAGCCAGATTTTGTTGCTTTAAAAATATTCACAATAGAAAATGAAACTGTTTGGCGGCTATGAAAAATGAGGTCTGTTCTCATGTCTACCATTTCTTTCATAAGAATTGTATGTAGGACAGGCCAAGGGAATCATGCCTTTTTTCCCTCTACTATTTCTGCTTCTGCTAGCTAGAGACACAGTCCTCTTCCACTCTTTACTCACTCTCCCTCTGAACTCACCTCAGACCAATTAGAATTAAGGTAAAAAGTTGAGAGGGAAATGAATAGCAAGCCCAGGAAAATGGAATGAGCAAGAAAAGTTAAACAAGTTCTTCCAAATGACTTGGACAGTCTGGTGGGGACTGTCACCTGTGGTAGGCAGAATTTTAAGATACTCCATCTTCTCAAAACACCAATGACACAATGCTGTACTGAAGAGATTTGAGAGGGAGCCTCATGAAACAGTTCTCAATCCCTACTCCTGTTTCTGCCTGGTGAATTCTAGAGGTCCATACATTTCCATGCACTTAGGTACCATGTCAATACATTTTTCTCCCACTCTGCTGAATGCGTGGCACAAAATAGGTATATAAGACATGTGTTGAATCAATGGATATCATTCCATATTATGATGTCCCTTTTTAGAAATCTTTCTATTTACTTTCATAGTAATGTGTGCCCTGTTCTCCTAAGCCCCTGAGGCAGCTGGCCCTGACATGTAGGGGTACTAGTGGGGGATGACCTCCAGAACTAGGCCCCATCTCTGTCCTCAGCACAATGTTTTCTACATAATGCACAGTCTTCATAACTGCTATCATTTGGCCACACAGTTCTTTGTATCTCATAAGTTGATGTTGTTTTCATTTTAGAAGATGTATATTCTTTCTTTTAATGCAGTAGGTTTTAAAAGTTTAATCTGTCGCTATTCCACAATATCAAGTGATCATTTTAATGTTTGTTGTTATCTGTTTCATTTAACTTTGATTATTACTGCTAATAGCGACTCTTTATAATAGCCTTCATATAATGTTATGATTATTTATAATCTAAGCATAGACCGTTGGGGTGGCTGTTTTAGGAGGAACTTTCTAGCTGGAAATAACAGATGTTTTGATTGTCACATTGAACTCAAGGAACAAGCTTCCTGAATGCTGACCACATATTAAAATACATATAATCATTTGAACAAAGTAAACATTGGTATTTTGAAAATTTAATCTTTTTCAATTTCATTATAAATATGCAATGTGTGTTATAGCAGCCAGAATGTATGTTGTTTTTTAAAAAAAAGAATAAAAATAAATATGCATTTTTTGAATGCATTTTATGAGATCTTCTCTGTACTAAGTACCAACTTCTTTGGGATGAAGTGATTTTCCTTCATATTCTAAGAAAATGAAAGTGGATTTTCTGAGAAGCTATTGGGCTGTCCCTCCTAAGCTAGCCCAGTGGACTGTGTTGTACTTCCTAATCTAAAATCTTTGAGTTGTAAAAATCCTAAAATAAAACTACAACACTTTAAAGAATTAATGTACTTCGTTTTTTAGAGGAGTTTTGAGTCTATAGCAAAATTAAGCAGAAAGTACCGAGTTTCCATATGTCCTTCTCACCTGCTCCCACGCCCCTGCCTTCCCTACCATAAACATGAACCTAACACTGACACATCTTCATCACCCAAATTCCACAGTATATATTAGGGTTCACTCTTGGTGTTGTACATTATGTGAGTTTTGACGAATGTATAATCACATGTATCTACCATTATAGTATATCACACAGAATAGTTTCACTGCCTTAAAATTTACCAATTCATTCCTTCCTCCACCCAAGTCCTTAGCAACTGCTGATCTTTTTACTGTTTACATAGTTTTGCCTTTTTCCAGAATGTCATATTGTTGGAATCTTATAGTATGTAGCCTTTCCAGACTGGCTTCTTTCACTTAGCAATATGCATTTAAGCTTCCTCCATGTCTTTTTGTGGCTTAATATCACATTTATTTTTATTGCTGAATAATATTCCACTGTCTGGATATACCACAATTTATCAATTCACCTTGGGTGAATTGACTGCTGAAGTACATCTTGGGTGCATCTAAGTTTCAGCAATTATGAATAAAGCTATGATAAACATTCATGTACTGGTTCTTGTGTAGACATAAGTTCTTAACTCATTTGGATAAATATCAAGGAGC